CTTTGAAGGAGACACAGGCGAGGCCCCAGGTGCAGCAGGGAAACAGGGCCTGTTCCCAGGAACCTCTAGTCTGATGGAGCTGATCTGGGTCCCAACTCTAAATCCTGTGCTGTGGAGGGTCTCCTGTCCTGTTCCTGCCCCAGGGTTAGGCAACCCAAAGATTCCACCAATTCCTGAACAGGCAACGTATACTTTAAAAAGTTTATGGCCGCATGCAGTGGCCCACATTCGTAATCCCAGCACTTTGGGAGGCCAAGGCAGGAAGTTCAATTAAGTCGAAGAGTTTGAGACCAGCCTGGGCAACATGACGAAACACCATCTCTACAAAAAAACACAAAAATTAGCTGGCACGGTGGCACACACCTGTAGTCCCAGCTACTTAGGAGACTGAGGTTGGAGAGTTGTTTGAGCCTGGGAGGTCGTGGCTGCAGTGAGCCGTGATCATGCCCCTACATTCCAGCCTGGACAACAGAGCAAGACCTTGTCTCGGAGAAATAAAAAAAAATTACTATTATCCCACCTACTTCTGAAAAAAGGATATGAGCCTGTCGCTTACAAAGCATAAAGAGAATAAAATCAAAATCTATGAGTATAAGGATAAAAGAGCCAAGCCGAAGGAGAGTGAGCTCAGGGACATCAGGGCAGGGGAAGCTGCAGCAGTGATTGAGGACAAGGCTTTGCTGTGAGCTTCCTGGAAGCTAAGGTAAAGCAGAAACAGTTCATTTGCTCGCTAAAACAAAACACCAGATCATCAGGGAAATGTCCTTTCCCAGCTCTTGAGCTAGAAGAGGGTATTTGCTGGATGGATCTTTCTAGAAAGGTCAAAGTACAGGCTGGTGGGAGGGGTCACCAGCAGTAGGCTTGCCCAACATACAAAAACGCTCCTCCCTGCATTGCTGCCTCCCCATTGAGCCTCCTTAGCAGATAGGGGTCTCAGGCAGAGTTGTTTTGTAAAGGCTTTTCTGGGGGGCTCAGGCCAGGGCTGTGTGAGATGAGAGCAGCTCAGGGGGGTTTGCTGTGGGGCTAGCCCTGACATACAGGGATGAGAGGGGAGTGCCCACCCCAAGCTCACCCCTCTGGGACATGACCTCCTGGACTGGCTGCTGAATTTGTGCCACGGCAGGGGCATCACAGTTGATTTTCTGGCCCTGCCGGCACCTGCAGGGCAGGTGTTCTGTGTGAACAGTTGGAAATAGGCCCATGCTCTTCACTGCCATCCAGCAGGTGCTTTCCAGCTTGGGGCAGGCCCTGGGTCGAGTGCTACGGGCACATTGGACACCATGGCAGACACAAGGCCTGTGGTGATAACTGCCACCCAGAAAATAACCGGGTGCTGCGGGAGCCCAGCTGGAGGCATGGAGATGACCGGGAAGCCTGGGGGTGGCAGGGAAGGCTTCCTGGAGGTAATGTTGTGGGGGCTGAGATTTGAAAAATGGAGAGAAGTTAGCCAAGTGGAAAAGGAGGGCAAGGACACCAGGTGGTGGGAACAGCATGCATCCAGGCCGAGAGCCAGGACACTGCCAAGTTCAGGGAAGATGATGGAAGGAGATGCTGTTGGATAGGTGGAAGGGGAGGGGCCCCAGGCCAGCACAGGTGGTGCACACCTCACCACGGAGCACGGCTTCTACCCTGAAAGGGGAGGGAGCGCCAGGTAGGGACAGGAGGGACAGGGTGACGTGAAATGGGGAGAAGGCAGAGTCCACCTTGCTTTTGCCTGCAAGGGTGGCCTCCCTGCCTATGGGTTGAGGGGAGGCGACTCCTGCCTCCCAGCCTGCTCACGTGGCTGCTACCTGGAGCTGTTGTCCTGGAGGCATTTCAGGAGGACCAGAAACCATAACGAGGATGCCTTTTCACATCCGTTGCCTGGCAGGATTCTTCTCCCCATTTCATAGATTGGAAACTGACCTCAGGATGACTGTCTTAAAGCTATGTGGACCCGGGGCAGTGGCTCACACCTATAATCCCAGCACTTTGGGAGGCTGAGGCCAGCAGATGGCTTGAGCCCAGGAGTTCAAGACCAGCCTGAACAACACAGCAAAACCCTGTCTCTGCAAAAAGTACAAAAATTAGCCGGGTGTGATGACACATGCCTGTAGTCCCCGCTACTCCAGAGGCTGAAGTGGGAGGATCACCTGAGCCCAAGAAGTCGAGGCTGCAGTGAGCTGTGATCATACCACTGCACCACTCCAGCCTGGGCAATGGGAGTGAAACCCTATCTCAAGAAAAAAAAATCATAGCTGTATGGCTCCTCAGTCAACCCAGGCTTGAACAGGATGGTGGGACTTGCCCACTATGGAGGGGTCCATTCTCAGGCCTGGGCCCTGGCCCGCTGCCACATTCACCCTGGGGCTATGAGGAGGCCTTCAAGATGGCAGCCATGTCTATGTGGCCCTCTCCCTAGAGCAGCAACAGGCACCGGTCTGCCATTAGCATCCTGTAGCCACCTGGGGGCTCCTCTGATGACACACATTTCCCCCTGGGCCACCCTTCATGGCCTCTAGTCCTCTCTCCAGGGGCCCCTGCACTGGGAGGCAGGACAACCCAAGGCCACATGCCATGCCCCACTAACATTTATGGCTCTCCCCAGTCTGATTCCAGCCTCCTCCAGCCTTATTGTGCCCCATGCTCTGACATCAGGCAAAGCCACTCACTGTGTCCTCCAACAGGGTGCTCCCTGCCCAGCATGCCCTTACCTCCTCCCTGCTCCCAGCCAGAGAGAACAGCAGAGGCAAAGGATGTGGGCAAGAGGGGTTATGTTTGCACAGCCGAGAGCAGCCTGTGTGTCTGGAACCCAGAAGGTAAGGAAAACACCTGGTGTATGCGGGGAAGCTGGAGAGGCCATAGGAAGGACTTTTGTCATGGTTCCAAGAGCAAAGGATGGAAGATATCATTTGTAGGGATTTAGGCAGCGAGTGGTGATCACATCTGCTCTGTGAAAAGCTCTCTATGGGAAGCAGTAGGGGAGGCAGTGAGACTCAGGAAGGGGCAGTTGCAGTTGTCCAGGTGGGAGAGCGTTGTTCAGACTGGAAATCTCTCAGAGCCCTTTCTCCAGGAACCTCTCTCTGACCCTCTGTCCCACCCCAGACTCATTGGGAGGATACATCAAGTGGTCATCTGAGGATCCCAAAGATGCCTGGCTTAGCTGAAGACAAACTTGAGCACTCATGAAAATAGGAGCTGGATTACTCAATTGTGCCCCCAGATCCTGGCCCAGGGTATTGTGCTTATCTGCTGAATTGATGAATGGGTATGTGGGTGGATGGGTGGGTGAACTGATGGGTGGATTGATGGATGGATGGATGGACAGATGGAGAGATGGACAGATGGTAGGATGGATGGGTGGAAGGATGCGTAGTTGGATAATGAATAGGTAACTGAGGGATGAATGGATGAATGGACAGATGGTAGGAGGGATGGATGGAGAGGTTGATGGGTGGATGCATGCATGGTGGAGAGATAGACAGATGAGTGGATGTGTGGGTGAACAGATGGTTGAATGGTGATTGGATGGGTGGGTGAATGGATGGATGGATGGTGAATGGTGGGTAGAGGGATGGATAGATGGAAGGGTGGCTGACATCCCCATTTAGATGTGGGCTGAGTCTGCCCTGGAGTATTATCTACTTCTAAAGATCCTGATTGGAGCTCCTGAGCCAGGACCATTTATTTATCTTATGCCTTTCCTGGATACTGAAATGCATTCATCCCTTCCTGACTTCTCAGAGCCCCTTTCCTTCAGAGTTAGTTCTTTATTTTTCCCCCAAGCTGTCATACATTTCATTCCCTAAAGTTCCAGTCCAACCAACTGTCTCTCAGCCGTGTCAGTTGAGAGGCCTAAGAAAGTTGCCTTCCTGCTAGCCATCCCCTCGTTTGAGCTGCTGTGCGTCCCAACTGCCTGTTCCCTGGAGAAGAGGCTCATGAAGGCATGTAGAGGCTGGCAACTGTCTGGTCTCCACCTTGGGCTTTATTTTCCCAGCCCCTCCCACAGGCCCCTCTCTGTGCCTGTGTTCCAGATGCCACAAAAGCTGGGCCAGCCATCCCAACAGGAGCTGGCGTGTCTACTCAAAACAGGCTGGGGATGACGTAGTCGGTGTGTACACCATCAATCAGCCCTTGCCCGTTGTTATGGACGAACCAGCAGACAACCTTCTTGCCAACGCTGGCATCCTTTCTGTAGTCTTTCTGGGAGCCCCTGGAGAAAGAAGAGAGTTGCTGCAATACACGGGGTGGGTAAGACGGCTGCTAGGCTCGTGGACCTGAGGTCGAAAAAGGGTGGGAAGTTGGCAGTTCTAACAGCCCAGAATTGTTTGGTCAAGAATCAAGTCACATGATTTCTCTTTCTAGGAAGCCAAGTTTGGGCTTTTTCATGATTAGGAAGAGTCTGGTGGGGGGGGCCAAGACCTCAAAGGGAAACAAGAGTACCCCACAAAAGACAAAAGCCCACCAGGCTAATGTGCCTGGGCAGAGAGAACTCCTTCCTCCTCTCGTTGCTGAGCAGGTGAGGGTGTTGGAGAAGTCTCCTCACCTGGTGACAGTCAGCTGATGGTTCTTCACCACCAGTGTGGCATCTGACTTTGTGGGGTCAGAGCCTGGGCGAATGTCAGACACTTTAAAGTCAAAAGGTTGGAAGAATTGCCCTGGAACAAAAATATTCACACTGTCAGTACCTCGCCATTGCTACCGGTCATGTGGCACTGGCCTTTCAGGGTTTATGCAAAGGCTGAATGGGGCGTTGTGAGCTGGGTACAGGGTGGCTAGGAAGGCCTTGTGTATGTCTTTCCCATGCTGCTCTCAGTCCTGAACAGCCTGCAGTCTGAACATTTCATACCCAGCAGCCCATGCGTCTGCGCTGACATCCGGTGACTGTCCACCACGTAGAAGCCTAGAAAGTCACGGTGGACTGGATGTTTCTTCCACACCTGGTGTAGGACGACCACAAAGGTAACCCCATCTCCAAAGGAGACCACCATGTTCTTCTTCTTGTTGATCATCACAGACAGCCTACGAGAGGAGGCCAGAAAGGTGCTGTGGGGCCCAGGAGCTGTGACACTGGGCATCAGACTCAAGGGCATCTTGGTGGAGCCTCCCCTGTACATGGCATCCGAGGGCCCACAGACTCCTGAAACTATCTCAGGGGCATTGGAAAGAGGATGCCTCATGCCCACTGTCTGCCTCCTGTGAGTAGCAATAAGTGGGAAAGAGAGGGCTGGCCTGTGAGTCTGGAGGCCTGCAGTCCAGCCCTGGCTCATCCACTGACTTCCTCCATGACATTGGGCAGGCTCCACACCCTTCCTGAGCCTCAGTGGGAGGCTCTGGGGGATCTGAAAACAGGAGAGCTAGGAAGACGAGCAGCCACAGAAGAGGCAAATGGGGGCCATTATCACCTGACGCCTTCACCCAACCAGCCCAACTGCCCAGCTACCAATTCTGGCTCCGATGGGCCCCTGGGTTTGGTTGGTGGCCACTGTAGTCACCCTCCCCTGTGGCAGGAGACTGGATTCGGGGGCCTCTGATCTTTCCTGTGAGCCCCATGGATCTCCTGTCCTGGGATTTGTTCAAATCCCTCTAGAGCCTCCTTAGACCCTTAGCCTGTAGGCCACCTTGGAGACCTTGTGGGAACCTTACCCATCCTGCATGACTGTGACTGTGTCCAGCCAGCTGAAAGTATTCGGCACGGCCCTGTTCCATAGGGTGATCTTCTCCGTCGTCACCTCCACCTGGATGTCCATCTGAGCATTGGCAATGCCCAGTTTTCCAAAGTAAGTCTTTCTGGTCTTGGAGTCAGGGCTGCCTCTCTTGTCACCAACAATCTGTCCATTAACTGTGAGGCCTGCCAGAGGGATGGGGCAGGGAGAGAGACCAGCGAGAACTTCTGAATCCAGATTGCCTTTAGGGGTGTGCCTTCCCCTTCAACTAGGCTGAGTGAGGGGCAGCAGAGTGGGGGCAACGAGAGAGACCAGGACTTCAGAGCCCAAGCCTGTTCCTTCCTAGACATGCTAGGTTTGGATCACGCTGGGACACTGTGGCTCTGCCTCTTGCCTGAGCCAGGGAGTGTTCTTCAGGGAAAAACTCTCCCCAGACATAGGCTGGGCCCTACCCCAGACCCAGGCAGCTCATTCACTCTAATCACCTCCCAAGAGCACTGGCGTGTGGGGGCTCAGCGAGCCTGTGGACCTGGGCACTCGCCTCCCCCAGGGGTTTCTCTGCATGTGAAGATGATTCCTTACTGGGCAGAGTGAGAACCTGATCCATGTGCCCACTTGGGGGTCCCAAGCCCTCCCAGAAAGAGCCCCTTGGCCCCGGCCCCAGCCCACAAGCCTCACCTGTGACAGGGTCCTGAATAAGGCGCAGCACTGTGCCTGGGTCTTCGTCGATGTTGAAGCAGAGGGTGTCGTCTTTCTCCGGAACTTGGATGATGAAGTGGGGGTCCCCATCCACTGGTGACACATTAGAGAAGGGGCTGGCTCCCGGGGCCTCTCACCATACCTGGAGCCTCCCCCAGCCTCCTGGCCTCTGTGGGCTGGACTCCAAGAGAGGCAGGAGCACATGCCCAGGGTCCTGAGCCTTTCCTGGGAGCAGCTGGGGACTCACCATAGTAGTAGGGGTTTTGAGGAGGCTGGTAGCTGGCTGTGGAGGCAAAGGGAGGAGGAGCTGAGCTAAGCAAGCTCAGGGAGGTGCCCAGCCCGCACCGGAGTTCAGCTCGTGCCCCTTGCCTTCCCTCTCCCTAATGCCATTGCCCTCCCACCCCTCAGTCTCCTCAGGACACATTGTCCATATTGTCCATCTGCCTGTCCTGGAGAGCTGAGTGAGTAGCCACCTCGGAGGGGCACATGGCAGGGGCAGGCTCTGGGCAGAGGACGGAGGAGCAGCGGCCAGCATGTACTCACTCAGGTAGGTCATGGCGGGGCTCACCGGTGTGGCTTAAAAGAAGCCAAAGGGCAGCCATGAGCAGGATCTAGGGGTTCCCTCTCCCCCAGCCCCGTGCCTTCTGCCTGTCTTAGTGCTGCTGCACCCCAGAGGGACCCCAACACTGGCAGATAGAGGTGGAGATGTGACCCCAAAGCTTAGGCTTTAGAAATGGGGCACATCCAGGGAAGTCCTTTATGGGACTAGTGGCAAGGGGAGTGTGGTTCCCATGCTGGGGCAGGGCATTTTAATGTGGCTGAAATACAAGCCGTTAAGTCATCAGCTTCTCTCTCTTGAGTAATGCTCACAGCATACACCTGCCCCACCCCTGAGCTCCCTACCCCCTAGTTGGGATGAGTAAGACTCACCGCTGTCTGTTACTTCCCACACTTGCACACACACACACGTGTACGCACACACACTGGTACATGTCCAAACATGCCCCCCTTATAGATGGAAGTGGGACAGGCCAGGCCAGTAGGGGTTGGGGGGCCCTGCCTAGAGACAGGGAGTCTGTGAGGTTCCAATTTTGTGTGAGAGAGGCGCAGAGGACTGTGATCCCCAGCAATCCCCAGCATAGGCATTGGGGCCAGACTGCCTTGGCCTAAGTGCCAGCTTGGCTGTCTGCTGAGTCTGTGAGCAAATAGACTGAGCAAATTAACCCCCTGTGCCTCAATTTCCCCGATCACAAAAGGACCCTCTTGGAGGATTGCTATGGGATCAATGGAGTATAAGTGGCTGACATGCTAACTGGCTCATTTTTGCAGGTCACAAATACTGTTATACTGATTGTCTCTCCTTGGGCAGGGGAAGCCACCCCCAATTAACTTACAGGGATCCTCAGGCTCAGAGAGGGGCAGAGTCATGATTTGGAAATAGGGCTGGGCCTCAGTCTAGGTGTCCCAACTGTGCCCCTGTGGCTGGGGGTCCTATCTTGCTTGGAAAGGCCTCCTCAATTCTCTCTTGTCTCCTTTCCATAATCCCCACCTGGTAGCTGGCTAAAGCTTACCTTCTGCATATGCAGGTGCAGCGAGGAAGGAAGAGGAGAAATGCATTAGAAGCCAAAGAGCACTGGTGAGCAGGGACGAGCTGGCTGCTTGGCCAAGCAGCCCCAGGTCTTGGGCCTCCCAGCAGCCAGCTGTTCCCCCATTGGGTGTCCCCTGGAACTAGGAGTTCCTGGAAGCCAGAGGCCTGGGCTGGCTGGGCCCAGCAATTTGCCTCCCGTGTCTCCCAATGCCATCCCTCCCCCACCACACACAGACCCTGTGCCCAGTGGCAGTGGGCATTTGGGACCTCCTATTGAGTAGGGCAGTCTGGGGTCTGGTTGAGGGGTCCCAGCCTCCAGCTCTCAGGGACTCTTCCCCTAACAATCTCCAGGCGCCTAGTAGTGTGCTCCAGGCCTGACTTTCATGTTGGAAGTGCTTCTTCTTGTCTAACTAAGCCCCTCCATGCTGTAGCCTCAGCCCTTTTCCTTGAAATGTCCCTGGGCAGTGTGCCCCCTTTACTCACATCCCTTTAGAGGTACAGAGGCTCCTATTCACCCCCCACCCCACTGTCCATGCTGACTGTTTCATGCTCCACCCCGCTTTCCCCAGTCCCCCTTCGGCAGATCTGGGTCTCTCCAGCCCAGCCCACTCCTCCACTGGACACCCAGGGAGGGTGCCCAGCGCAGGGTCCTAGAGGGAGGCCTCCAGGTTGCAGCCTCCATCCCTATCCCCACCTTCCCCAGGCTTGTCAGCGATGGCCGGCTCATCCTCATTGTCCTCAGGCTTGGTCACCACCATGGAGGTCAGTGGAGTCACAAAGTGATACTTGAGGGACAGGTCCAGGGCCTGGGCCGTGAGGTTCTCCTTCTCCTCGCCATGGGCCTTCTTGCTGTGAGGAGGGGCCATTCAGGAGGGCGACACAGAGAGCAGCGCCCTGCTCTCCTCCCCCTTGCGCTGGCTCCAGAACCAGGCCAGGAGTGCTGGACACAGCTGGGGATCTCCGCTCCACTTTCCCCATTGTGGGTCCCCCAGGGTAGAGCCCAGTTGGGCTCAGAGAAGACTGGCTCACAGCTCCCTGGGGCATGTGGACAAGCCCTGTTTCCTTGCTGGGCCTTGGTTTCCCCACCTATAAAACATAGCGGTCGGCCAGGCGTGGTGGCTCATGCCTGTAATCCCAGCTACTCAGGAGGCTGAGGCAGGAGAATCGCTTGAACCCAGGAGGTGGAGCTTGCAGTGAGCCAGGATCGCACCATTGCACTCCAGCCTGGGCGACAGAGGGAGACCCCCCCTCTCAAAAATAAATAAGTAAATTAGCGGCTACGGTAGCCACTCACAATGGTGTCCACATGTGGAGAGCTCAGCCTGTGCCAGGTTGTATACTAGAGGCTTCACAGGCTAATCCCACCCACATGAACACTGACCCTCTCAGTGGGCTCAGCTCTGCCCTGTGGGCGCTGAGGGCTGGGACCCCAGCCTTCTGTTCCACTCAGCTTCACCAGCCCTGGGCCGCGCCTGGTGTGGGGAGCAGGATGCTGAGCCCCCCCGCCCTGAGGCACTCCTAGGCTGCTGGCCACCGGGCTTGCCCGCTTGGGCCTTGGGGACAACAGGATGAGGAGTGGCGGCCTGGGTTCCTTACAGACGGCTCTGCAGACAGATCCTTGGCTGGGCCAAGAAGAGGGCAGGGCCGCTGGGCCTGCGTGCGGGGGTGCCCTTCCTGTGTGTGGCCGGGTCTTCCTCTTGGGCTCTATCGGAGCACAGCTGAGGTGGGCACAGGTGGGGGCTGGGCCCTGCTCACCGCTTCTCCAGCAGCTGCTCGATGGTGAGGTAGGCCCAGAGTCGCTCGATGTAATCCCCGAAGATGTAGTCCCGCTCCTGCAGGGCCTTCTCCATCTCCTTCATGTCCACCTCCTCTGTGAAGGTCAGGTCGTTGGTGGCCTGGGGTGGGGATGGAAGGAGGCAAGGGGCTAGAGGCCTGGGTGGGCCAGGTTCAGGGGCCGTCACTCCTGGACCCTCAAGAGGCCAGAGCTCTGCCACTGCTGATAACCCATCACCAGGACACTTCCAGGCCCCGGCCCCACTCACCCCATGGCCCTTCACATCTGCCTTAAAGCTGTTCATGTCTTCGTCCACCAGGCGCCCGGCCACCACGATCTCAGAGCCATCGTAGAAGTGCTGGTAAGTGTTCTGGGTGAGGTCCAGGATGGCGTTCTCGGGGTAGTCCACCTCCACACCCGTCAGCAGTGGGTTGGCCACCTCCTCATAGAAGCCCTGAAGTTCGGATGGGGCCGGTCATCCCAGGCCCCTGGGCAGGCTCCCACAATGCTGCAGCTGGCCATCTGTGTCCCAGAGCTGGGCTGTCCTGGCTCCTCATGGTCACCCTGCCTGTCCCTGACTGCATCCTTCAGTCTGTGGGGGCCTCACCCACCCCCTGCTCCCAGCTAGACATGAGGAAGACTAGAAAGAAAGGGCAGTTTCAGAAGTGTTTGCCTATTTAAAAAAAGAAATATGAAAGGACAGAGTTCTTGGCACAAAGGAAGTATTTAAGGAATGTATGTTGGAATGAAAGCAGGAAGGAGAGAAGGAAGAAAGGAGAGGCAGATGAGAAGGTGACAGGGACAGGAGTGCAGAGATCCAGAGACAGAGGAGGGAAGGGATGGGGTGGTTGCCCTGCAGAGGTGGAGATGCCGTTACCTGCCTAGAGAAGGAACAGAATTGCCAGATTCAGCAAATACAAAGACAGGACATGCAGCAAACTGAGTGTCAGATAAACAATGAATACTTCTTTAGTACAGGTATGTGTGTGATGGGTTGGATAGTGTGCTCCTAAAGTTCAGCCTTTTTTGAAGATAGGGCCTCCAAAATAAGGTCATTAGTGTTGGCCCTAATCCAATAGGACTGACGTCCTTGTAAAAGGGGAATTGGACACAGACCTACAGAGGGAAGACATGTGCAGACACAGGGAGCAGACAGCCACTGAGAAGCCACGGAGGAAAGGAAAGAGGCCAGAACAGGTCTTCTCTCCTAGCGCTTAGAAGGAACCAACCCGCTGCCACATGCGTCTGGGACGTACTTGTTACAGCAGCCGCAGGACACCAACACAATGTCCTCTGCAATATTCGAGGCATACTTATGCTACAAAAATGCAGTCTTTATCAGAAACTCATATTTAACCACACGTCCTGTGTTTGCTATGATAATCCTACTGAAGAAGCAGGCCGGTTGTGCAGCCCAAGGACAAGATCAGAGTCTTTATTGATGGGTAAGAGATAGGGGAGGATTTTGACCCAAGAGGAAGCTCTTCCTCATAACTAAAACAGTCACCATATGCAGCAGCTGTCTTAGGAGGTAGTGAACGCCTTATGTCAGAAGTGTGCAAGATAAGGCATACCTGCAGCTGCAAGTCGGCATCAGAGTCCTCATAAATGCGCCGGGCAAACCCTTGGTTCTCCAGGGCCATGTTCTCCAGGAAGTTGTAATTCAGATTGTTGCCAAAACCCAGGTTATACAAGGGGAACTTGCCCCCGATGGCATTCCGCACATTCTCTTGAATTTTTTCGGGTCTGCTCTCACCTGTTGGAGAAGGGGGTATTCACATTCCAGCCCCAGCCTCGGGGCCAATCTAGACCAGCTCTATCTGGGGAGACCTGACTCCTGCACGTGCAGAGCTGGTAGAATCACAACCATGAGCCCTTGTGGGGCAGATGGTGGAGAACCCTGGCAGAGGGAGGCAGGACCCTGCCCTCGAGGGGCTCCCAGACCACAGGGAACCCTGGGAAGAGCTGCCCCAGGTTTTCAATGAGCCAGCTACAGAGCCGGGATCAGCAGCCAGACACTCCAGCCCTGGCCCAGAGCTACACCCACGCTCCTCACCAACATTGGCATCCCCGTCGGTCAGCATGATGACGATGGAGGTGCTCCTCTCCGGGACCCTGTGCTCCTCTCGGGCCTTGTTCAGCATACTGATGCCCCTCAGCAGCCCATCGTTGATGTTGGTCACTGGGACACAGACAGACAGCACTGTGGGAAGGTGTCCTCAGGGTGCCCGTGTGCAGAGAGGCTGGAGCACAGGAACTGGGACAGCCAGCCCCACTCATGTGCCCAAAGACTCTATCTGGCAGCCCATGGTGGTACTCAGCAAATAATGAATGAACCAGCACATGAACAAACAACTTGACTGGGCGCGGTGGCTCATGTCTGTAATCCCAGCACTTTGGGAGGCTGAGGCGGGTGGATCACAAGGTCTGGAGTTCAAGACCATCCTGGCCAACATGGTGAAACCCCATCACCATGTTTATACCATTTTTGTATAAAAAAATACAAAAATGGTAGTAAGCACCCGTAGTCCCAGCTACTTGGGAGGCTGAGGCAGAAGAATCACTTGAACCCGGGAGACAGAGGTTGCAGTTAGCTGAGATTGGGCCACTGCACTCCAACCTGGGCTACAGAGTTAGACTCCATCTAAAAAAAAACAAAAACTCACACTTTCAGATGGGGATGAAAGGGTTTCCAGAAGACTAAAAGCGCACTGCAATTGTAAAAGCCCTTTGGCAAAGAGTTGGATGGACTCCCAGCCCCTCTTGCTGGGATGAGGGGAGCAGTGTAGACATTGTGTCATTTTCCATATAATATGGGGCCAAGAAGACGGGTTCTCTGTGGCCTTATCTCGCTGGGGACTTGTGGGATACCAGGATCATGGATTAGAAACAGAAAGAATGAGTTTCTCTGGACCACAGAGAGGACAGCTGGTATCCTGTCTCTAAGCCTGAGGACCATCCACTCCCATCTCTACCCCAGCTCAGATCTGCAGGGTCCCTGCCCTGAGACGGGGATACAGGCTGCTCAGGGACAGAGGGAGGAGCCGCTAGGAGGCGCGTGGGCTCCGCCTCTGCTCTTACTTCCTCGATCATCAATGCTCTTCACAAACGTCTTGGCCTCCTGGAGGTTCTCAGGCGTGGCTTGGACTAAGTGCTCTTTCCATGTGGACACATCTCCACTGAACAGGATGAAATTCAGATAGTCTTCCTCTTTCATGTCTTCCAGGATTCTGAGAAGGGCTTCCTTTGTCTGGTGGAGAGAGAGAGACAAAGAGTTGGGAGAAGCTGCGGCAGAGAGTGACGGCCCTTCTCAGTTCGGCAGGTGATGCAGCCCTGCCATCTGCACCAGCGAGCCCTGCCTGAGGCTTGCCACAGACGAGGGCAGAGGCCGTGAGCCTTCTCTTATCCTGTCCCCTTTCTCCTCATTCACCACAAGTATCAGCTTTTTCCACTTAAAAAAAAGTCTCCTCTACCCCTCACTCCCCCGAGTCCTGGCCATGCCACTGGCGCTGAGCACCTGCTCTAATTTCCGACCAGCCATGGAGCCGCTGACGTCAATCACGAAGGCCACGCTCTTAGGCACCACTGGAAGGCCTTGAGGTGCGAAGAAGTGCACGAAGTAGCCATTGACTATCTGGAGAGAGGAGAGAGGGCCAGGGTCCTTTTAGCAACCACAGTGACTGTTCTTACAGGTAGAAGCCAGACATTTACCAGCCCAAGAAAAAGACACTCCTATCCCACCCTCTAGGGGGTGCTGCACCGGGCTCTGGGCCATCAGCTGTCCCATGTCCTGTAGGAAAACAGCCTTGGGCTGAGGGCCCAGGGTGATGGCACTAGATGCAGCTGCAGCCCCTCCCCCACCAGCCCTGGCCCCACCATGATGGTGAACCGGCCAGTCCAGGTACCTGCACGTTGCCCGGAGATTCTCTGTTCACGTCGTAGGTGATGGTGAAATCTCCGTTGAGGAGGGAGTCTGTACAGGTTGGGCATGAACGCTG